ATTATATGATAATTAGAGCCTGCGATAGAAATTTATTTGTAACAATTCTCCATAACCAAAGTAACAAAAACTCATTTCACAAGACGTGATGAAAACAAACTTTAACAATCATTTCAACAAGAAGAAATCAACAATTTGTAGTTACAGTGGTTTATAGGGTTGTTATATCCATGGCGTCGGTCAGCTTGGTGGTGCGTTTTTCTGGAAACAAAAGAAATGTGGGTGAATCCAAGATTGGCAAATTGCCAATTACTTACCAAGTTTCCTCTGTGCACGTTTGTTCTTCTTCAGAGCTTTCTTTATCACTCGATTCAACTGCGCATTACCATCAATCACTAAACTACTTGGAAGAGAAACGGCTTCAGTGCTTTCGCGGTCGCGATCGACTTTTTTGGTTTTCCCGCTAGTGACAACCACAGCTGAAAAAATAAGAGTTCTGAGGAGTTGCATAAGAGCATAGGACGAGTAGACGTACAGTTGTTATCCACATCCATTTCTCCTTCTTTTTCGTCCTCTTCTTCATTTGATGAATTGTAGGGCACAAATGTGGCATCCATTTCCATGGGAAGACCTGCAGCAAACCAATATGAATCTACTGATCTTTTAATTTGCAAACATGTTATTCAAAATGAAATCGACTAAAAAGGTCATGAAGAAAACTAATTAGAGGACTTAGATGGCATACTTTTGATAGCGTTTTTAAGCTAATTTGGAGTCTATTTGCTGTACTCACTTAAGAGGTTATAATAGCAACTCGACTACACTAGGATTTTTGCCCTTTTAGCCAAGCTATTTTCTTCTCAGCTTTGTATGCAAAGCATGAATGACCAAGAAAAATGACCAACCTTCAACTAATTGCTTCAAATCTTCATCCAGAGTGTCTATATCAAACTCTTTGCTGAACTGGCTGACAATCTCGGCAGATACTCCCGCTTCAGGTGCAACAGATGATGTATCCTCTGGTGGATGAGTATAATACCTTAGTCGACCAGTGTTCCAATCATTTAAGACCTAAAGTTGCATTTCATGGGTAGTTTGAAATAT